CGCGATCATAATGGTGCCGTGACCAGGATCATATCCTGACCTAGTTTTGCTTGAGTACCAAAAGCTTGAATTTTTTGGCAAGTCCTAGAATTTTGATGGCTTATGAAAGCCCTGGAATTTGGAGAGAGTATCCTGATTTTTTTGACGTAGACTACGTCTTACGGGAAAGTACTGGGGGTAAATCGAAAATCTAAAATTGCAACCGCCACGAAAAGGTGTAAGGTTTCGAACGCTTATAACTTTGTCATTTATAGATGAAATTAAAATCCAAATACAACAATCGATAGGAAATAACTCTCACAATCTGCTACAATAAATGCTTTTCCAATTTTCCATAAAAAAATAGTTGAAAAATTACCAAATAGAAATTGATAATTTTATCACTGATTCAATGAAATAAACGTTCTCCCAAACTAAGTCGTCATAATCGAGTGCTGTGGTTCCTCTGCTCATGAAAGCTTCGGACGGTGTGGCAAGCAGAAGCAGGAGCAAATCAGGAAAAGTTGGAATTTTTCACTCTGCCTCTGCTGAACAATACTGCAGTTAGGCTATAGCGCTGCTGTTGTGAATCCGCTCATTTTCGCATTGGACGGACGGTGTGGTAAAATAGCAGGAGTCAGCTTGATGACAACCAACGATGGGGTCGAGAAGATGTGGAATATGTGGAGATCGAACAATTGGTCCTTTTCAGGACCACACATATTTTACAGAAAGAGTTATTGAGACGCTCAAATAATATAAAACGCGACAAATGTTATTTTTATTTAACAACTCCCCCATCTTCCTATAACGACAACCTAACAAGAATTGACGTTAATTTTTTCACCCACCAAAAGAGCCAAAAATTCAAGTTGAGAGAAAATTTGCATGTCATGTATGATGTACCTCTTACAGCTACAAAATAGTCTAAAACATTTCCGGTGCCTCTTTCTATGCAATTAGAATAACATCTGAAGTCCATCCTTTTTAACATATTTTGCACAAAAAATAACTTTTTGTCACACTCCATTCATAAAAAAAAACGGCGGGAAATCCTGTCAGGGGGGACTTCGAATGTTGTATACAAATTACAGATGCATTACTGTAAGAACTGTCAAAATCCTATGAATTTACACGCTAGTGTTCGTGAGATTCTGCTTGGAGAACTGAATTTTGATGATTTTGGGACGGTAAAAATTCATTTACATCTTTAAATAGAGCTTTACATTGTTGTTTGTTATAAAATTCATCCACCAAGTGGATAAGCGAGCTTCTGGGTGGTGCTGTGTTTAGTTCGGACCAACAAAAATTAAACCTCTTTAAATGGGTTGGAGCATCCTTGTGTAAATGCAGGAATGGCAAAAAGTTAAGATATATTTCTGAATACTTGTAGTTCTAGTTCCTCATTATTTGCTTAAGAGGCGGATAAATTCCTACGTTAAGCTATCAAATGAACATTTAGAAATATGATTCTGCTTGGATGGACGAATTTTTGATTGCTTGAAGTAGCAAATTATGATTAAACATTGAACATGAACCAAACTTTCTAATTTTGTGAAAGCACAACTCTGAATATCTCAACTAATGCGCCTGTTTTAGTCGTATGTTAGCTTTATATAACAAAATCAATCCAAATTAGCGGGCCTATTTGTTAGCTCCCTAGTAACAATTTGGGTTTGATGAGGGTACTATAGACCATGATTTAGACTTGTAAAGTGCTTTAAAACCTCAATAAAACTTACCATGTTACTTGGGCTTGGGATTGTATTGCACCATGCTTGTGAACGATTTCCCACCGGAGGTATCCCACTGCGATCAAGCGTTTGGTTAAACGTGTTATTTATAACAAATGTTCAACGGAGATGGGAAGGGCATTGAAGTGTGCATGGGGAACATATTTTATAACGGAGGATTAAAGACAAGTGTTTCATATGCGGAAATATCCCTAACGGAAAGTCCAGAAACAGTCAGAAAAATACCTAATAAGGGTGTGGAAATTGACGTGTCAAGGAGAGGAAATGGAGTAAATTGAGGAAATAAGTTACTTCTACTGTATTTTAAATCAATATCAAGAAAAATGCACTAGAAGTTCACTAAACATCTCAACGTAGTCTACGTCAACCATGCGGTCGTGTCTTGTACACAACCCCACCATAACGGCGATAATGCAAAAAAAATATCTTTATAACTTTAAAAGCGCCATTCCGACATAGTGTAAGGATGACGTGTTAGTAAAAAGCAATCTAGTACACACTTGTTCAGTAAAACTTTACCGAAGTCATAACAGCTGAACGTTCGGTAAAACTTTTACCTGCATTTTAAAGTCCATTGAATTAAAAAAAATAATTTCAAAACATGTTCAATCTTGTTTAAATGATCAAATCTTGTCATTTTAGTGGAGAGAAAGTAACTGAAAAGCAATTGAATTGAATTGCATAAATTTTACCGAATAGTTCAGCTGTTCATATTTCGGTAAAAATTACCGAAGTCAGCGATAATTTCTAAGTGTGTAAACACCAATTAACGAAACAAAACAGATGAGAAACTGAAAATCAGGTGAATGTGTAACTCAGCAAGTAAACCAAACAACGGTTGCTATCAATAGCCAATTATTTCAAAAGCTGTAAATTTGCTGAAAAGCAACACAATCGACCCAGAAACCAAATTTCATTATAACAATTCACCATATCTAAAATGATTGAATAGATCCAACTAACACTCACTTGATTACATGGCCAAAATCCGAACGACAACTTTCTATCTATCCCAAAGCGTAATTAAATTTCCAGCACTTCTCCAAACATTCAGCTCACTACTAACTACTGCCACCCGGTTCAGTGGTCTATTATTCTTCGGAACACACTCACACACGCTCAACAAATTGAATAAACACCTCACCATAAAATTTCATTTAAACTTCGAAACAATAGGTTCGCATTTTCCTCCGCTCTCTGGAACAACACATCAGTTTCGAAAACACATAACTACTCTCAACTTTCCAACGGGGAAAACCTTGAATTCCCGTGCGCTCACCTAGCCCGACCATCTCCGTCCAATTTGCATACCAGGTATAGTTAAATTCTATCAAAAAAAAGGTGCCAAAAGGATACCATAAAACCGAACCCAGAACCGCAGCCGGGTGAGAATGGAGCAAAAAAAATTAAGTTAAAGCAAAAACATTCCATTTCCAATCCTTTCCCCGAAGCGATTCTGAAAGGCGAAATCCATCTTCCGTCATTAGCATATAATTGAATGAATATATTTAAATAATTTAATAATTTTCGCTCCAACTATTCCGGAGCATCGCTGGCAGCAGCGGCTTCGCTTCTGGCCTGCGAAGGGGTTATTTCGGAAGCTCCTCCGGTTGGTGTGCGGCAACTAGTCAGGTGGTCAGGCCGTTGATACAAATTTCCGGATGTTCTTGTCTTAACCCTCTGGTGCCGGAATTTTTTCTGGAGGCTGAATCAGAAAAGCGTCGAATCAAGAGAAATCCACTGAGATAACCAAAAAGTCGTAACGGTTGGAATCGGACGAATACTTCTGAGCAAGAGAGTGGTATTTAAAAGACATTCTGTCCAAGTGTCCAGAATCCAAACGGTCGGACTGAAAGGGATTTAAACAGCTTCACTACAAGGAAACTAGGTACCTATGGTTTCTTTTTCTCCAACGATCGTGAAGGGAAAGAAACGAAAGCAGACCACATCTACTCTCTTCCCGTGCAGTGTCGGAAACGGATAAAGCTGGGTAACAAATGCAGCAACGGTGAAATTTATTCCAATTATAATTCTCATCATTTGTTTTCCTTATGACGTCGCTCTGACAAGCGAACGTAATCCATTTCGGGTGGGGATTTGTCGAAAGAAAGCGAAGCGGGTCTCAAGCCCGTACTGATAATGATAATTTATATTGTAGCCGCCTTTTTTGCATATACCACTGTTATTAGAATGGGTGGGTGGGACTATCAAGCAACTCCGACAAACAACAACAAGTATAGATACTTTATTCTTCCCTTTTGCCTCTACATAGCGTTTATGCTACCGAAGCGTACTCTACTTATAGTGCTTGCTACATCAACACCATCTGCATACCATTACTCTCTATTTAACCCCTCGTCTTATCGTTGCTCACGTAGAAATTTTCCGCAAAGGATAGCAAAAATTGTTTTTATTTTGTAAGAACACCTTTATCCGCAGTAGTTTACCATCACCAAACGAAAGTCATCCGAAAGCTTGACCTTAAAGCGTACCAGTGGCGCTGAAAGTCCCCCTCAAAACAACCAAGCTTTACTCTCGCGCTCTCACTCTCTCTCCAAACCAAACCAAAACCAAACCAGCACGATCGGGCTTTGACAATGTGTGGCATCATCAATCATCCCTGCAGAATGCAAAATTTACCATTTACATTCAAACTAGCTCACACAAGATTACCATTGTCATAAGGATGACATGTTAAATAGAAACAAAATTGACCTCCTCAGCGATTGTAGCGCCACCAGATTGGTCTTAGTAACACCCACGCCCGCATCATGCAACCGAAAACAAAAGAAAGAAAATAAGCAAATCAAAGCAACCTCTCCATTTTTAGTAGCAATTCCTCATCAAACGAGCAGTTTTCGCCAGGTTTTGTTAATTTTCTGTTTCACACCAAAATTCAATTTTCAAACGTAGTGTAAATTACACCATCCCAAAACCATTCAACTACCTCTAGCGGGAACAACTCCAATTATCTCACCTCCAATTCATTACAGTGCTGTTGATTATAAACAATTTTCTCTCTCTTTTTCTCTCCCTTTCTCTTCTCGCTGTTTTACCGACCGTTGAATTATATGATAAATATAATCAAAAAACCAAAAATTGGCCCACAAATTCACGAAACACATAAACGAATGTGCCGTGCCGTGTGCCAACCAACTTTATCGCGAATGTAAATGGTCCCGACGGCGTTCGATTCGAAATACACCCACACCATGCAAAAAACCATTGCACAATTTCACCCGAAAACCAAAAAACAAAAATGTACAGCAAACTACCACGGCTCAAACACGGTGTTTCTAGTCGGTGTATTAATGTCGGTTGTTGGGGGTGTTTTTGTAACGTTTGCTCTGATGGCTTTGTGCTACAGGTCAGTTGTAGTACATAATAACTTCTCCTTGTGCCTAAGGTTAGTGATTTTCTTCGTTTTTTCTTCCGATTTTTCTTATACTTTTTGACTTCCTTTTTATAATTACTACCAAACTAACAACTAACAACTACAACAACAACAACTTCTACTACTACTACTACTACAACTACTACCAAAACAACAAAAGAAACTATGAACAAAAGTGCCAAACCAAAACGTATAATAAATCCCTCTAACGTAGTTGGCGGGCAAAACCATTGCTAACCTGTATAAACAGCAACATAAAACAGAAACAAAACAAATCTTAACAGAACAAAAACGTCCACAGAGACGACCACAAAATCACGAAACATTTATTAAAAAACAAACAATAATGATAACTATGCATACACTTCTTTCTTTAAAAGTTGCCCAATAGCTGAACGAGTCAAACAACTTCCCTCCTTCTCTCACTCTCTTTTTGATAAACAACTCCTCTAATGGTTCAACTTCTATGTGGTAACTGAAATTGTATCAACTACATGAACCCCTGAATACAAGATTTTCAATGAAAAAAAAAACCGTTAGAGGGTGAACCCACAGCCGTACTTCCGGAAACAATGCCAAACTGTCAGTTGATCGAATGAAATGGTGGTAAGCAGCGAATCCAAACACATAAAACAACCAACGATACAGACAAAAAGGCTTGCTAAAGTAAAAAGTAACGATTTTTATCGGTAAAAAATACCGATAATTTTAGCGTAGCTAAGAGTGAAAGGAAAATGATATATTGCTTGCCTGCTTGGTTGCAATATACATAGTTGAGGACAGAGCTGGATTAGAATCAAGAAAATAGATAACTAGAAAATCCCATTAACACACGTGTATCATCTTCGGCTTTACTTCGTAAAGCAGCTCGCCAACAATTTGGTCGTTTCCTTGTACCGCCCCTTGCGGGCTGCTTGTCATGACAAAGCGTTATCGTTCGGCTCGTTGATCGCTTGTCATTTTGTCATTTGGAGATATTTTTGATTCCTTGGTGGTAAGATTAACTTTGACACTCCGAATACGATGCCTCCGATAAAATGTGTAACAACAAATTGACAATGTTTGAAGAAAAGTTATAGCTCAGTCACTTATTGACGGGCTTTAAATCTATTGGCATGATTTTAAGCTACATACTATAAAAAGTTAGTCTGTGTAAATAGATCTAATATCGATTGATAAATTGCTGGGCAATGATTTTTCAAACATTGCCAATTTACCGTGGAGTGTTAATACCGACCCTGATCGAATGATCTGTCAAATATTTGCATAGGATCACATTGATAAACATCGGCATCGACCTCAAAACAGACCCGACATTCGTGATGTGGATTTAATCCGAGGATTATACCGGTTGGAGCTTACCACCATAAGTATAGTAAATTCTGCACCCAATCAAACACGAACATAAGCGTCACATAAATCGTCGTCAATTTACAAGCTTATGCAGTATGTCGATGCTTTGACAACCCCATCGATACATCCACCCGATGCGCCAACTAGCGGCATCACATTGAAACTGTGTGTGAAGCATAAACACATAACAGCCATAGTGTGAGTGAGATTCTTTCGAGTAAGGTTCAATAGAGTTTTATAACGAGTATTCGAACTAGTACGAGCAGAACAGGTAGACATTATGAGGTAAGTCCTTCTCTGACTATCTCCACATAGAAAAATGCCATAAATGCCGAAGTGCAGAAGCACATCTTACATGGGTCACCGATTTCCTGTGACTCAAATTAATATCAATAATTTGCGTGTGTCCGGTGCTGCGGACTCAATCCGTCAATGGAAAACTGCTGGAACATTTTCCCAAGTGTTGAATCAATCCGCCAGTTTTGGAACAACATTCTACCAGCGATTTTAAGGAAATTGTGCAATGACTTCTGGAAGCTTAGCATAAATCAAACACTATTTTCTTGAGATTCTAGAGGGGGAAAAACAGAATGAAAAAAAAATCTAAATTTCACTGAATCAAGCTATGAGTGTATAGAATCACAGTAGGCATTGGTTTTCAAGATAAGTCCATTTGTTTACATCATGGCTTCACCGGAGCAAGCACGTCGCGATTCGATCTTGCACGCTCGAAACGAAACTCCCATTTTATTCGCTTCTGGCAGTTTTCGGTTAATGCCTCGGTTGACCGGAAGATTGCCCCGGACGATTGTAAATTCAAAAAGAAGCCGAAATTCCCCAAAACGTTCCTTGTCTGGCAAGCAATCTGCAGTTGTGGGCTGAAAAGCAAAACTTTCGTTACTTCTGGGACCATGAACCAGCAAATTTACCAGGAGGAGTGCCTACGGAATATAGTACTGCCTTTTCTGGAGCAGCATGCGGTAGACTGCCTCTTTTGGCCGGACTTGGCAAGCTGCCACTACTCAAATTCCACCAAACAGTGGTACAGCGAAACTGGCGTGTGGTCACCAAGGAGGTGAATCCGGCCAATACTCCGGAACTATGGTCAATTTAGGACAATTGTGAAGCATATACCTGTGCGGTACATATACAGTCATGAGCTTAATAAAGTGTGAAATGAGCTATATTAATGATTCAGTAGAAATGTATACGGAACTAAAGTCGACGTACACTCTATGTCAATTTGACCAAAGTAGGCTATGCTTCGTATATTTGAAAACCCAAAACTCGTGACTTTTCTTTCCCAGGAGCTCCAAGAGGCAAGTCATAATTTAGCTGCAAGCTACAGCGATTCCCCTTTGAACCAGGTGGAAATTCACAATACCTAAGAAAAGGGGTGGAACTGCAATTGACCTGAAGGATTTCAAGTAGGATTGGGCGATCTTGGATCGATCTTTGCAAGATCGATCTTTTTCATACCGATTTCCGATTTTTCGGATCAATTCTTTGTTCACGAAAAAATCGATCTTTTCTTTCGATCTTTTCGATCTTCAAAATTAATTTTTGAAATTGTATTTACATCGAAAAAACGATTTACTCTCACCCCAGACTGCTTGGTAAATTTAAAGAGCATAACATCAACATCACCATCGCTCCCTATAATGACGTCACTATTTTCGTTTCCGATATTTGCGAATACAGCAACATTTGAAGGTTTTTTCTACCTCCTTCCTGTGATCATTGCTCATTAACGTCACAACAACATTCAATTAAATATTATAAAGGAAAGAATTTCTTGGGGTACCTACGTTAAAACGAGTGTATAGCCTTTTCTATATGCAAGAGTATTGATGGTCCAAAAGTGAGGATAACAATAACAAACCAACATTTTTGGCTGAAGTGAAAGTGAGGATAGCAAACTAAGCACTTGAAAATGAGATTGCGCAAGTGTGCGAGCTGAGCTATAAACGTCAGAAAGATCAATTAAAATAAAAACCATAAGATCGATCTACCAAAGATCCATTCTTTGGTACTGATTTAATCAGTGGATCGATTCTAGAGCCAAATATAAGATCGGTCCATCAAGATCGATCTTTCTCTGCAGATCGCCCAATCCTAAATTTCAAGCGAAAATGGAATTTGGCACAAGATTTGGCAGCCATACAAGTTGGAACAGGGCTCATGCAAAACAGTTGACTGACTGAAACAATGGTCTTACAATAAGCATAATACCTACTAATGTATAGCTGTTACATTGAGCTATGCAAAATAAAACACATTTTAAGCCCCAACACGATTTTCGTGATTTCCACGGTTAAGTTTGACTGATAGGAAACGTCATTTTAAACTGCTCGAACTATGTGAGACGTTAGTTTGCATGCTATTTTGAATCTACCCAGTAACTGGGTAGATGGCACCCAGTCTTGTAGCCAGTAAAGAGTTGTCAAAATCTGGGTAAACTAGTTTTGTTCTGATGAGTATAATCTACCCAGATTCTGGGTAAATGGTGAGAATTGAAATTTTCCCAAACTTAAACATGGAGCAGGTTTGAAAGGGAGGTTGTTGCGCTGCCAGTGAAATGTTTACTGCTCAAAATATACAATTCTGACGCTAAAAATGTTACAGCTACGGAACTGTTTGGGCTGCGAATGCTACCAGCAGCTATAGCTGGTAAGTATATGGTTATTTTCTGAACTTTAAACTTTTTTTGTAATTCTAATTTATAAAACTTATTTAAAATCAAATCTCAATTAATGGTTAGCATTTGTAATGATATCCTTATTTGGGAATTGCAATGCCGTGTTCCATAGTTATAAATTTTTTCAACAATCATTAACAGGCTAGATGAGCCGAGAGATGATTTATAGTCGGGTGAGGTTATGTTTGATAGAGCTGCTGCAACGGTCATATCAACAAATTTCTATTAAATTGGTAAAGTTTACCCAGTTATCAAATGTCAACTGCAAATTTAGGCACAGATAAAGATGTTCAAAGTCATGAATTAAGACAAATTTTGACTGTTTTAAGACAGTCAATTTTAATGATCTTGGAGAAGAAACGATGCGTTTTTCAACGTTAAGAGCTGTAGTCTAGAATGGAATGTGATCAAATGTGATCAAAGCTCTTTTTTTTAATTTTTACTCAAAAATAAGGAAAAGAAATAATACGTTTATTTTCCCAGAAAAACTTGATTATTTTCTTACCCTTACTTCTTATTTTCAGACGTCATTACGATCAGACAAAGATGCCATTTTGAAAAAAAAATAACACAATTATGCAAAGTTTTATGCAAGTCGGTGAAGGATGAGTTTTTCCGATTCTTTATTTGGCGTAGAACTGCTCATTATATTTCTCTGCAACTTTGGATTCCATTTTGTTAATTTTTCCAGATTCAAAATGGCCGAATTTTAGCCAAAATTTGAGTCATTGTCCATAACAACCAATTGCACAAAATTTCATACAAATCGGTCGATTTAAAAATTCATTTTTGATTGCACTTGTTTGTCTGTAACTGATCTATAGAGACTACCAGATAGTGAATATGTTGAATCCATGTAATAAATATATACAGGATAAGCTCAATGAGTAGAAAATAAAAATCGATTACCACTAGCATGTTG